GAAATAAAACATAACATAGCTACTAAATGAGAGTTAAGCATTGAAAACAGAATTGTGCAGAACAAAAGGACCACGGATAATATTATCTATGAAGCTAAACACTCCAAACTCAGTGCTGATTATGAAACCTAAACCAAAAAGGAAAAGCTAACAAGATCACTTGTTACTTGAACCATGAAACCCCTCTACATGTATCTTCTCGACCACTCTAATCCTTGTCAGCTTTAAAAGCTGACAGCATTAACTTTGCTTGCTCTCGTATCAATTCATTCCTCTTCAAAAACAACTCCAATTCAGCTATATGCAACTTCCTCCACTTCGCCTCCATCTCTGCCTTCTTCATTCCATGCGCAAAATCCAATCCATTTCTCACCACATAATCATCCATTTTTCCACCACTCACACTTGCATCAAACTTCAAAACCTTTTTGACACTTGAATCTCTCTCCATCTCAACTTCCATTCTCTCCTCCTCCTCCACATCCATACCCAACTCAGCCCTCAATGCCTCTAGTTTCTTAGCATTCCCTCTTTTATTATCATTACTATTATTGTTTTTCTTCCCGTTAGCTTTAATAGTCCCTTCACTGCCCCAAATATATTTCGACAAATCAAACCCCTTCTGATCATGCGGTTTGCTAAAAATCTTGCTTTCCCCTTTTTTCCCTTTCACATGATTCTCAAACTTCTTCCTTAACCTAGAAATCTTATCCTTCAATTGAGTCATAGACACATCAAAATGCAAAGACTTCTTAATAAAATCGAAAAACGCATTCATATCCTTTGATGGGTCATAACCTTTCTCTGCAATAAAATCAATTATACCTTGCAACAGCGCAATCTCATCCTCCTCGGTCCACAACCTTTGAAAGAGCTGTTTTTTGGAGTCCTCGGACTTCTCAGGCTCGGATTCCTTGCTCTTAGCCCGTTTCAAGTCTTTCGAATCGCGATCAGCCCCGTTACCCCTCTTCACAGCTGTTGATTTCTCCGGAGTGGCGGCTACAGCTGGTTTGGATCTGGACTTCTTGACCGCTGCTGCTTCCTTCGATGGGGTCTCCTCCATTGGTTTAGAGGTTATAGGCTTGACACTCTGGTCGGGTTCGGATTCAGATTCGGATTCTGACTCCGACCCAGAATCAGATTCGAGCTCAGATTCAGATTGTTGGGTGGTGGGCTCGGATTTTTCGGGGGCTGAGTTTTGGGTTCGGATGGTCTTGGTTTGTGGCTGTGGAGGAGAGGGGTGGCTCTGTTCATCATCAGATGCTTCTTCTTCACCACTGGAAGTTTCTTCCTCTTCTTCGGAGCTAGAAGCAGAAGGTGGATCTTCAACGGGAGGAGCACGTTTTGGTGCCATAGAGAAACAGGGAGGGATAGGGTTTTGTAAGAGAGTTTGATTAGCGGCGGCAGCGTGCCTTGGAGAGAAGAAAGAGAGTCTTCCCCAAGATGTTTTTAAACGAGGACAATAGAGTGTGCCTGTCGGTTTCCTTATCGTGGAATTTCTCACGGTGGGAGGACTTAATTTTTAACCATCCGAACGTTATTATTGTAATATGGAGTAGTAATGCTAGCTAACAGCCAATGAGATTCATTAATGTGTAATATTAGTATTATTGATATCATCAAGAGGAAACTAATTAGATTTTGTGATTTTTAAGAAATAATTATATCAATAATTACTTTGTAAGAGTATAGGCATTCACGCTCTCCAATGTAACTCCTTATAATTACTTTGTAAGAGTATAGGTGTTAAGGCTCTAGGCGAAAAATTTAACCCCGCGACACTAGGCATTCACGCTCTCCAATGTAACTCCTTAATTATAATGGCTAGCATGTAAGTTTTGTGAATAGCAATCCTTATATACAACGACAATACTTTTTGCCGTTTAATCTATTTTAAAAAACTACATTTGCACCGATCTCTTCCGGTTATATTTTCTATAAAACTCTCTCCTTCAACCATATGAAAATGATGGATGGAAATAATAGTTTTAGAGCTCCTTTTATATGTGATTATAGCCGTTGAAAATATGACCAGAGATTAGGCTGTAGCATTTGAATTTCAAATAAAACAAAAAAATAATCGATTCAAAAATTAATAGTAAAATAATAGTACTTTTTGAGATAGGAGAAAATCTTCTTGTTGAATGTGATTCTCTCTCTTATTAATGTCTATCGTTGAAATGGATTCTTTGAATAAGTGCTGACATTTAATCATGGAGAATTTTAAAATTTCTCATGGACAAATCGTGAGCGCAGAGAACACAGTAGATTTTTGATGTTTTGTATCAAAACAACTGTAGTTTTGAGATAAAAAAAAAAAACTGTGATATTTTGCTTTGATCATCGGAAACCCCGGCCTTTCTCACCTATGTCTTCTCTGTCTCCTGGGGACACTGAAATTGGATACCATGTGATAGATACCTCAACATGAAAGAAGTGATTCCTACCATCAATTACTAGAAGCCTGCAAATAGCTGGATCCGTAGATAAGATGATAACATCATCAATACATCTCGAGGATGTTTCAATCAAGGAAGGAGAACGTTTTGATAATTGGACAACCTAACAACGATTCTTTTAGTATGCCAAGGATATCATCGGATCATTTTGTATATCATTCAAGATTGAGTGTTTTCCCAGATAATCTTAAAAACAGTAAAGCCAGTTATGCAAACAAAGTTATTTCACATCAGTACAGCGTTCTTCTATTTCTTTAAATTTCTATTCAAGTCCCATAAGGAACTTCATGGTTTTCTTAAGTGATCCACAGGTGCATATTGGAAAGGTGCAGAGTGCATCACGATCATTCCATAGGCCCTTCAGTTTTGTAAAATATGATCCGACAGACATGTTATCTTGCACAAATCATGAATCTCATTCTCAACATTGAATAGCTGGACCACGTTTCTATGTGCGAATCGTTCCTGCAGATAGAGCCACATTTGTCTAGCATTTTTGCAATTGATGACGCTTCTAGCAATTTCTTTGGACATTGATCCTAGAAGCCAAGTTTTAACCAAATTGTTGCACCGATTCCATCGTTGACATTCTTCCTGATTGCTCTCGCCTGGTTCTTTGATTGAACCATCTATGAGTCCAAGCTTATTCTTCACTGTCAAAGCCATGGTCATGTATTGTCTCCATGTGCTGTAATTATCTTCCACCAAGGCCTGCGGTACGAGGATGGCACCTGGCTGATCTGAGTGGTGAAGATAAAGTGGATGGTTTGGATTATCCCATTTTGCAGATGAAGCCATGTCTTTTGTGAAGATTGGTTAAAATTTTGATGTTGTGATTGCTACGGTTCCCAGATGAGATGCTCTGATACCATAAAAACAGAATGATATGTAGAGAATCTGTTTTCATAATTAAGAAAGAAACAAGGATTACACTATAAATATATATAGTGCTGGCATTGTATCAAGATCCCACTCTATTGCCTATGATCAAGCTTGATTATTTACAGATAACTAGAGATTAATTTTCATGAATGACCACTTATTGTGGCTTGATTTGCTTGACTAATTTGCTTGATTTCCTAAACTTGATTATTAACTGTCATGAGGACAGCTTACGGTGCAAATGATAGACAATTTCGCGTCTTTGACACAGGAATTCGCTTGACAAAGTCGGATTGTGAAGCATCAATTTTTCTGTAAGTTAATTTACCTACACTGATGAAAAATATGAACAATCATTTCTAGTTAAACTCGCAACAAGTCGTGAGATAAAAAGACCTGCTCAGTGTCAGCGTTAATAGAGATATCAACTGTGAATAGAATGAGAATAATAAAACAGAGCATCTGATTCTATTGGCAATTCATATCTCTATTATGCATGATTTCTGCTTGTGGTTGTTGTCATCCGTTGGTGCCCAAGAAATCATTCTCTCCAAACTTTTCAGGACACGCAAGGGTGACGATCTCGGGGCGACATATTCACACTACTTTGATCGTGAGAGGAAATTTGCGGCGGCAGCAAAGATAACTAGGAGGTTTTCAATAAAGGAGAACATTGTGATGGTCGGAGGATCCTGGACTATGGACCATCGAACGACAATTAAGTCGAGGTCTGATAATCTTGGAAATCTGGCCACTCTGATAGAGTATGAAATCAAACCCAAGTCAAACTTGACAATTTCTACCGTATTTAATGCCGAATCCCTTGACACGTTTCCAGGAATTGGACTGATTCTCTCTCTCGTGATCTGAAAGTTCTTCATTCTTCCGTTTTGTCCAGTTGATGCAGTTCTGATACCTCATTACCTTCTGTTGGTGCTCTGCAAGAAAGGCCAAAATGGAGTCACTGCTTTTACAAGAAGCAAAGGGGTACCCTATGGTCCTAGACTCTTCTCTGATTTTGAAATGCCCCCAAGAGGTTCATCCATCTTGTTTGCAAGCTTTCTTGTCGTGTATTATATGGTTCTTTCCTTTGTTTTGTATCTTGTTTTCTCTTAAGTCATCACATCGTATTTTTGTTGTTTCTTGGATTGCCGTGTTGTCAGACAGATCCCACATTTCTATTGCAAGTCACTGCTCTGATCATTTGAGTATGCAATTCATCATGATCAATTACTTGGATCAGTCCAATAGCCCCCAAATCTACACAATTTTGAAAATTTCTATTGTTTAATATCCTATAAAAACTTCAGTGATATGTAATTCCTGGAATATGGCAGGCAAGTGCTTTTTTCATTTTAACGAGACAAAATGATATGGACCATTCTAGTTGTTGAAAAAGCTTCGGTTGAAGTCATACTGAAAAACAAGAGCATCATCATTTGAAAAACAATGGGAGTTGCAATTCATTTCTAGTGGAAACTAAATTCTACATGCACAGATATGAACTAGATAGGACAAAGTGGATACATGTTTCCAACATCATGACAACATTTCCTCGCAAATTGTTTCCTTCAAAAAAAATTCAAGAAAAAACTGCTTTCATTGCTTGCTACAACATTTTGAACAGAAAGTATTTAGCTGGTATTAGAAGACAGCAGATCACTAAATAGTCGATGATATTTCTTCTGGTAAGCTCTGTGCTTGAACATCATGTTACAATGTAATGACTTGCAACTTAGGTGGCAAATAATTATATTTCGAGTCTTGCCGTTGAAACGCACGATCATACCAAAAGAGCAATACCTTTTCCTTCCTTTTGGGCTCATCAAACCAGCAATAGAATTTATTGGCATCTTGATATCAACCGCAAAGTATAAGCATTTTCCAGGAAAATCATTATATTTCTCCGAGATAATAGATCAGGGCAATAATTTAGGCTAATGCCTTCAGCCAACCATAATTCTTTTCAGTTCAGAACTCCATCCTCGACTTTTGAACCACATGATTGCAGAATAAACTGCATAAGCAATGGGTATCACCCTTCATTTGAACCACATGATTGCAGAATAGACTGCATAAGCAATGGGTATCACCCTTCATTCTCGACTTTTGAACCTGGCACACCATTTTAGTAGAAGCTCTTCGATATCAGCATCCATTCGGGTTCCAATGCCACCCCAGACCAACATGTGAGGAAGGTCTCCAATAGTCGAGCCCGTCACTTCGTACACAGCCTTGAACCCAATTCTAGTGTAGAACCTAACAAGCTAGCAAATCAAGAGATAAAGCAATACAGTTAAGGATTTTACATCAGCTCGGTAGAAGATCCAAGAAGTTATGTTTTTCAATAACCATATCATATTTTGGAAGCAATAAATAATCAAGTCCTGATGCTCAGTGTAATTGACCTATCATTACAGGTAACCTGCACAATTTTTTGACCATTTGGGAAACTAAAGGGTTAAAATAGTTAACAGTAATCCACAACATTGAAGAATTTCTGCCTAAATAATCAGATCAAAACAACTTTAGCTCTTCAATCAAAGGTAACGAAAGCAGATAAATTTATCCAAAGACCTAAAGCAGAGAACGGAATAGGCTGCTTCAATTTCCGTAAACTAAAAGGAGAATTGTGAGCGAAGGCAAATAACCTTAGAATGGTAAAGATCAGAGTCATTAATAGCAAGCAACTCAGCAGTCTTACAACCAGAGTCATACCCGTAACGAATAGCAACAGCTCCAATGAACAAACCAATGCCAAAAATTGATTTTTCCATGCCAAGTGTTTCTCTTCTCAATCTTATTGAATCCAAATGGAGAATCTTGCCTTTTAACCAGACCCTTATCAGCCCTTCAGCTCTCCCAAGCTCATTTTGAGTTTCAAGACTCTTAGCTGTGATTCTGAAAAAGGGTCCTAGTATTTGTAGCTGAAGGTCCAGGTTCTGGGCCTTGGATGCAGCCAATACTTCAGTCATGGTTGGCACAGCTACGTTTCTTATATTGTTAGTGTTAATCTCATATTGAATGTTGCTGGAATTGAGGTGGGTTTTTGTGGTTGTCATTTGGTCTGGTGAGGATAAATAAGAAACTGGAGTAATTAAGCAAGAGATATGGGTTCTTGCTTGTCTTCCCGGATTTGGCAAAGAGATTTTGAAGGTAGGAATAATGGGTGTCAGTTCCATTTGTTTAGCGGAGCAGCGTAAAAGAGAATGGACACTTTGAGACAGGCAGTGCTGAGAGGTTTTGAAGTTATCCAATGTTGTGAAGCGTGGCACATATGTATTGGATCACCATTGGACTCCTAAGTCCTATGTCGAGTTTTAAAAATTAAAATAGGTCCCTAAAGATGGCAGATTTTACTAGACGACCTGTCTTTGCAGCTTACGTTCGTATATACTGAAAATAATTAATTAGTTAGAGTGTATTTGATATTGTTGTAACTGTTGTAATTGTGATTTGAAAAAAATTATTCTATAAAAAGTATTTTCAGTTGAGATTAGTTTAAAAAAATAAATATTTGATTAAAACTGTGATTAAAATTAAAATTAAAAAAAAATAAGTTAATATGTTTGGTTAAGAATGATATTAAAATTAAGATTTTAAAATAATTCAAAAATATATATATTAATATTAAAATTTAAAATTTAAATATTATAGAATTAATTATTCTTATTACATCATGAAATAAATAATATTTTATATAAAATAGTTTTTATCATTTTATTAAACTATTTATAATTTCATTACATACAAAATTCATCCGATAAGAACTACAGTTTTCATAAATAAGAACTATAGTTTTCATAAATTTTTAAGTGTATAATAAAATTAGATAAAATATTATCAAATATAAAATTAATATTATAGTACGAGTAAATTTAATTTATTCTGTACTAGTTTTTTAGAAAAAAAATATTGTTCACATCACAATACAAGTGAATTTAATTCATTTTAAATTAATTTTTTTAAAAAAACTGTTAAAAAATTAACAAAAAAAAAATTCATGGAACTGTTCATGTTTCCTGAAGAATGCAATTATAGGGTACAGTTTATCAATATACACTGTATTTCGAAAAACATGAATTCCATGCTTTCTTAAAATCCTACCATAAATAAATTAAGAAACCCATATTTTTTATTTTTTAATAATTCATAACCAAACAACTTAGTGTGTTTTTTAAGAAACGCGAACGGGCCATTTACCACCTTAAGTGTTACAGAATCTGAATTAAGAACATGCCGACTATCCTTCTCTAGTTATTTTACTGTAATTAGTATATTTCTTGAAATCTGTAGGAAGAAAAATAATTAACTCTGGGCATAATTTACGTGCAATGAAACCAGGCAATGGAGCACAATCCCAAATCTTCGTGCCTACAAAGCTTATCAGACAGTTGATCCAATTCAAACATCATAATTAGCAGCCATTGGTTTCCCTTTCAACGATGGATTACTCTCACTTTGCAGCTTACGTTCGTATAGCAGAAAGAATGTTAACGATCCGTACAGACACTGTACTGCAAATAATTAATTAGTTTGAGTGTATTTGATATTATTATAGCTGTTATGATTATAATTTGAAAAAAAATATTTTATAAAAAATATTTTTAATTAAAAATAATATAAAAAAATAAATATTTGATTAAAATTGTAATTAAAATCTTGATTGAAAAAAAAAAAGTTAATATGTTTGGTTAAGAATGATTTTAAAATTAAGATTTTAAAATAATTTTAAAAAATATATATTAATATTAAAATTTTAAATTTAAATATTGTAGAATTAATTATTCTTATTACATCATGAAATAAATAATATTTTATATAAAATAGTTTTTATCATTTTATTAAACTATTTATAATTTCATTACATACAAAATTCATCCGATAAGAACTACAGTTTTGCATAATTTACGTGCAATGAAACCAGGCAATGGAGCACAATCCCAAATCTTCGTGCCTACAAAGCTTATCAGACAGTTGATCCAATTCAAACATCATAATTAGCAGCCATTGGTTTCCCTTTCAACGATGGATTACTCTCATTGTTTCACTTTCAACAGCCGCATGCAGAGCATCCATTTCCACATGCAAGCAAATCCTCGAAAGATCAAGCGTCGCTTCGAGCTCTAAAATTCTTCTTTCTGCTGCCTATAAATAATAGTGCATCGTCAACATTATAAATTGCAAGAGGAATAAAAGAAAAACCACAAGCATTTATTAGGGATTCTTGAGCTTTACTGTTTGATAATGGGAGATATCAGCAGAACTAAGCTTCGCACATTGAGCACGCATGTTTTCGATTTTCTGCCTCGTTAAAGCCTCCTTTTTTCCCTCCCTCTCAAAATACTTTGATCCTTTACTCGTTTCATAAACTGCTCAAAATGAACATGATAAAAGTGTTATTTAGATAGTTATCTTATCATGTGTACGTGTAATGAATAGAATATAAATATTATCAAATTCGATTTAAAATTTACCAAAGCCTAACTCGAAATAAACTATTTTATTTTTTTGGATAATTAATAATAGCATATAATAAATACCCCGAAACCAATAAATAATTTATAAATATATAAAATTTTTAACCAAGGAATAATTAATTGGTAGGACGTACATGAAACCTAGCATCTAAGTATTGCCCATCGTCATCCCTATTTGTTCACTCCTTCCATGCCTAAAATAAAAACAAATATTATAGCACGTTGTTTAATCAAATTTCCAACAGCATCGACCATTCCTAAGAGATTCGAATGAAATTGTCTTAATTTGCAAGCACGAGGTGAAATAATTGTGAATGAAACAACCTAAGTAGAAATTCGGGATAAGAAATTTATGAACTGCTTTAGCGTTAGTGTGAGCTGCGTGGTAAGATTGCCATGGACGAGGAGGAGGTTTCAATTAATTGGTTATTGAAAAGGGTTGCTGGAGATATATAGGACTAGGACCGACAAAGAGGAAGAGGCCGCTGGATTTGGAGGAAGAGGATGGGCCTTGATTCGATTCAAAGCCCGACTTCTTAGTCCGAGATTCGACTTTTCTTCGTCATCGGGCGGGCCCGTCTTGGAAAGATATCGGGCGGGCAAACCCGACCTCTTTTTCTTCATGGTCGAATCCACTTTTTTTTTTTGCATATTCTTACAATGTGCGCCTCCTTTATTATATATTATTAGAAAAAACAAAAACTACAAATAGAAGTTCAACCACGGCTTTAAAACATAACTTGACCTCCTAGTTGATTCTTGATCCGAGAATTAGGCCGAGCCAGGTTTAATAATAATAATAATAATAATAATAAATTGTAATCTGATCAGCTAGTAAAAATTTAATTAAAATTTAATAATCTTATTTTTAATTTATTTTTTCAATGTATATAATTTGTATATTTTTAAAAAATTAATTAAATTAATTCAAGTTAGTTAAACTCCTGTTGATCTAGAAAGTGATTTATCTTCTGGAATCATGTATAAAAAACTACGGTTTCAATGTAAAGAAGAAAAAGAAATTTCGTTTGATTTGAGAATAAATTTTTATATTTAAATTAAAAGAGATTTTTTTCATTTGAGATGAATTTTGTAAATAGAAAAATAATTCCTTTTAATTTTTAGAGGTTTTTTCAATAAAAAATTATAAATTTATTGTTAAAAGCAAATGTTAGGTCAAAAAAATACTACAAAGTCGAGTCAACTTTACTTTTTAATAAAAAATAAAATAAATCATGAATTTTAATTTATAATTATTTCCATTCAAATTTGTTATGAGTCATTTTATGTCAGATTATCTTGAATTACGAATAAAAAAATCTGAATTATAAATTCAAGTAGGGAATTACTTCCTTCTGATTCGCAGAAAAGTGACACGTTCCATCCAGCTGGATCCAACTTTTTATTACAGGGACTCAAGTTTCTCACGTGTTATTTTCTGACAAACCCCACAGCTTATCAAAAAGAGACAAATGTCAAAAAGAAACAATGGACGTATTTATTATGGCGCAGGGTCCCGCGTCGCCTTTCTTCTCCCACCAAAAACCGCATTTCTCTTCTGGGTTATTATTTTATTATTATTATTAGAAGAAACGCCACGAAAACTCTGTCCCACCAAATAATTACTTTGACTGTCATTGGGTGGATGCCATGTGCATAGGGGAGAGAGACTTTTTATTTCAAAATTAATAATTTTTTATTTTTTAAAAATTATTTTTAATATTAACTCATAAAAATAATTGAAAACACAATAAAAAAAATAATTTAAAATAAAAACATGTATAAACCGCAACACGAAACAATGTCTTAAAATTGTTAAGCTAGGGCCGTAAAATGTCAATTATTGTTTATTTTCTCATAATTCCAGTGCTTAATAGGAATTAAAAATAAAGGTTCATCTTCTTCTGCAATTCCTCGTTTGCTTCAAACTATTCAGTTTTTAAAGATTGTTTTTTCAGTGTTTCAACCTTTCTGGGCATCAGCAGGGAATAGTTTCTCTTTAGTTTTATTTTTTGAGTTTTGAGTTTCTTCCGAAAGTAAAGCACGAGATCTAGATTAGATTCCTCTTCCAGGATTTCCTTACAATATGAATTACTTGCTTTTCATCGATAAATAGTTAAATACAATTTCCATATGGATTATCCCCTAACAACTAAATTGTCAAGCATCTCTCCAGGAATTTAATATATTGTGACCGGCATGGTAAACTAGGGTTAATTTAATCGCCCTTTATATTAAATAATATTTTAAAATATACACTAGTTCAGAATTTAACTTTAATTTTCCCCACATTTTTTTCTTTTTTTTTCCAAAGTTATTTTTTTATATATTTTTTTAAATTATCCTTATTGATTTTATTTTTTATATTAAGTTGGTTGAGAATTTAGTATCGTATTTTTTTAAAAGCATTATAAATTGCTACAGTGTCCCCACGTGATTTTTTATTTTATTTTTAAAAATTATTTTTATCGATTTTATTATTTTTAATATTGAGCTAGTTGAGAATTACAACTGTAAATTTTTTCATGAAATACTATAGATTGTTACAGTATTTCTCTGCATGGTTTTTTCTTTTGTTTTTTTTATTATGACTTTTTTCAAGATTATTTTTTATTCTATTTTTTAAAATATTAAGCAGGTTGACAATTTAAATTTATAGTTTTTTCTTTTAAAACATTGTGGATTACAACAGTTTTCTTTATATATTTTTATTTTATTTTTTTATAATTGTTTTTATAAATCCATGACAACACACAAGCATGCCACGAGCCTGCTGCAT